CGCCGGGCGAGGGGTCCAGTAGAAACAGCCCCCACGCTCCACACCAGAGGGGCCGCATCTCAGCGCCGGGCGAGGGGTCCCGTATAACCAGCCCTCGCGCTCCACACCAGAGGGGCCGCATCTCAGCGCCGGGCGAGGGGTCCTGTAGAAACAGCCCCCGCGCTCCACACCACAGGGCCGCATCTCAGCGCCGGGCAAGGGGTCCCGTATAACCAGCCCTCGCGCTCCACACCAGAGGGGCCGCATCTCAGTGCCGGGCGAGGGGTCCCGTATAACCAGCCCCCGCGCCCCACCCCAGAGGGGCCGCGTCCCAGCGCCGGGTGAGGGATCCCGTATAACCAGTCCCCGCGCCCCACCCCAGAGGGGCTGCGTCACAGCCCCAGACAAGGGGTCCCCATATAACCAGCCCCACCCCATCCCATAATACTTAAACAGTGAAGCTCCAGGGCAACCCATTTAAAACCGGATGCCACGTGTCCCAGAGGGATTTGATTTTGGAATACGCTTAAAGGGATGATTCCACCCCGAGAGACGGTGCAATCCCCTGGGATGGGGGAACAGACCAGGGGGCGTGATCCTGGCTCTGCCCCACAAGGGGCCGGGAGGAACAGACTGGAGAGGCCACTGCTTCCCCCCCAGACCCCTAAGATGGGGAGGGGCCAAGAGCTGTCAGCTCTTTGGGGCAGGGGTTTTCCTTGCGCTGGGTCTGTACAGCGCCTAGCACCACAGGGGGCTGGTCTGAAGGGGGGCTCCCAGGCGCTACCGTAACACAGGTGAGGAGTGGGACCCACATTCCCTCTGCAGGTCGAGCGCGGGGGAGAAGCCCCACCAGCAGGTGGTGCCGAAGCTGCTGCCGGCTGCCGTAGTCATGGCTGGAAAACAAAGACACGTGCACCCCGCGTGGGTGTGGGGCTGCCAGGGCCGGGGGGCCGCCCCCACTCAACCTTCCCGCTGCCACCGCCACCGACGCCCGGCCCCCCACTTCCTTCATCTCTTTCCCTCCCCAGTGACCACCTACCTCCCCCGCCGCTGCCCCAGCTCTCCTTCTCCCCCACTGGCCAGCTCCCCTCTGCCACTTTCAGCGCCCGCCGGGTGCTCTCCACTCCCCTGACCCGCAGCACCTCCTGCCCCCTCTCCAGGGATTGCCTGGGCCACACTGACCCGCTCCCCATCTCTTCCCCACACCCCCACTTACCCTGCCAGCCCCACACTGCCCCCACCCCCATCTCCACTTACCCTGCCACCCCACACTGCCCTCCCTCACACTGCCCCACCTCCACTTACCCTGCCACCCCACACTGCCCACCCCCACACTGCCCCTCCCCCACTTACCCTCGCCACCCCGCACTCGCCCACCCCCCACCTACCCCTCCCCCTCCCCCAC